GGTCCAGCTAAGGAGACTGGACACGGCCCAAAGGGGAAGTGTCACTCGGAAGCAAGTGAAGCCTTTGGAAGATTGAGAGGTGACAACAAAGGGAAGAGTACAAGTTAAACCACCTCTGTGCTAGGAAACTCCATTTGAAAAAAAGGAGTCTAGAATCAATTAGCAAAAATTTCGCTGGAAAAGCAGCTTGAAAGCAGGAAAAACTCTGCTATCAAGGAATTGTGAAGGGTGGTACTTTTTGGACCACAAGTAACAGTTCCACGAGAGGAACTGCCAAGTGCGAACCATTAATCCACGAGTAACAGTCTTTTGTGATCTGTGAAGGGTGGATTTCAGTACCTCGAGTAGCAAAACCTTTGGAATAGCGAGAGAAAAATTCTTTCTTGCAAAGATTGCAAGGAAAGCGTTATTTTTTGTTCCTCCATTAAGTAGATATCAAAGGAAAGTTCCCACAGTTAAAGAAATGATAAATTCTATCAGGAAAGATTTCAGTTTTCTCTGTTTAAACAGACCTTTAAGGGAATTAACATCACAATCATTTTCCCCTAGCAGCGGCTAATAGTTTACACCTGTATTGGGCTGCCTCACTTAAAGAGCCCATACCTGGAATTCTGAACTCTGATAATTACCATCTTTTGCCTGGAAAGAAAAGGGCTAGATAACAGGAAGAACTGCCCTTACCACATTAAAAGTTATTTTGTTTGTACATAAAAAAGGGGGGAAATGTAGCAGCCTGTATAGCCTATGGCTAAGAGGAGTGAGAGTTATAAGAAATACCTGTAATGGAACACCTCGGTGAAAAGGACATGGAGAGGGATTTAGTTCTAACAAGCATGAGCGAGCTCGCGAGATGAGAGCATTGGTGAATTGGCAGTCTCTACACCTGTGGTGCTGAGAGGCACGAGCTCAGCCTTATATTAGGCTGGAGGGGAGCATGCACATTCTGTCACGGATCAGCTTACTCTGACTCTGTCCCCTCTCCTGCCTGCAGAACACCAGCACGGCGTCTCTGCTGAAAATTACCAAGCTCTGCTAAAGACTAAGCTCTAGCTGTTCTAAGAAGACTGCTTTACTCTAAGATACTGTCTCTCTCCAGCTAAAGTAGATAGCCCTCAAGCACCTACGAGAAACTGTTCTTGAGCAAGGTAGCTTAGTCATGTCCAGAACCTACCTAAGCTGGGCCCGAGACCTGGCCAGTCCTGGGCCCTGACAGCCCATAGTTTCAAGAAAGGGCTTGGTCACACCAAAAAGACCAAGCATGTGATTAGAGATCAGAATATTCAGCTTACCATCTCCCAACCTCCTGAGAAGGGGAAGAACTGGAGATTGAGTTCAATCACATGGCCAGTGGTTTAATCGTTTGTGCCTACATAATGAAACCTCGTATAAAAACTCTAAACACCATGCTCAATGGAGCTTCCCCACTGTGAATATATAAATGTGCTGGGACAGTGGCACACTCTGGCTCCATGGGAGCAGAGGATCCTGCACTCATAACCTCATAGACCTTGCCCTGTGTACCTCCTTGTCTGGCTATTCATTTATATCTCTTTGTAATAGAATAGTAATTATAAGTACAGAGCTTTTTTGAATTCTGTGAGTCATTCAGTGAATTATCAAATCTGAGGGGTGTGGGAAGCCTTGAATTTGTAATTGGCCTGGCAGGAGTTCAGGTTGCTTGGGGACACCTAAAATTTGTGGTTGGCATCTGAAATAGGGCAGTCTTGTGGGACCGAGTCCTTAAATTGTAGGGTCTTTTGTAAGAATTGGTAGTGCCAGAATTGAATTAAATTGTAGGACACTGAGAATCTGTGTTGGGACACACAAAAGAAATCAAGAGGACTTCCAAAGCACCATGTGTATTAATGGAGAAGTCTCTGTAATACGAATCAATGGAAAAAATTACACATTGTAATACTAGGAAGTCATAGGTTTTATAAGACAGCTATATAGCAGAAAGTACTTTGGAAATGGCCCTTAATAACTGTATAACCTTGGAAAAGTCACTTATCCTTAAATTCCCATTTCCACTTTATCTTTTAAAGATAATGATACCTATCTGTAATT